TGACAGGGTCAAGGGTGAGATTGGAGGGGAAGAGCCAGGAGGGGCTGTGAGCAATGATGAGAGCAGAACCCGGGGAGCTTACGCAGAGGCTGAGGAGGTAACAGCCTGCTCCTTCTCCAGTGGTTCTCCTGACATCCGGCTCTCTGAAACTTCTGAGTGAGCCTTTGCTTGTGCACGGCCCCCTCTTGGGCACCTGCTCCTCCTTATTAACTTAGCCAACACCTGCTGTTTCTTCAAGACCCACCATTGGTGTCATCTGCTTGAGGAAGCCTTCCTTATATACCCGGGCTGGTTCTTGGACCTTGTTGGAACTCCCTTGGTCTGATGCTTCTGGGTCTGCCTGGTTGGGACTTGTCTGAGCGCCTGTCTCTTGCACTAGCCTGGATCTCTATGGGGGGAGGGGGGTTGTCTCCTGTGTTTGGCTAGTGCAGAACCCACCCAGGGTTGGGCGCAGAGGAGGCCAGTTGCCCCTGGGCTCAGCCTCTTCCTTTGGAAGAGGGGCCCCGCTTGGAAACACAAACAAGCTGGAACTTGGCTCTGGAGCCATGCTGGGGTCGGGTCCTGAAGTGGGCAAGTCTGCTAAGCTTCTGTTCTGTTCTGTGTGTGGAAACAGCTATTAGTCCCTATGGATTCAGAGTGCATGTACACATCGGGGTGGTCCAGGAGCTCCAAAGCCTAGGGATCCTACTGCCGAGACCCCCACTCCCTGGAAGTTTCCATGGTCTCATTTTTTTGGTCCCAGACTGAAATGCAATTCATGTGGGATCTGTCACCTACTCCCAGAGTGGGTTTTCTGAATGTCACTGGTTTTGAAATTCCAATAGGTATTAAACTGGTAAAGGAGAATTAAAAGCAGACAACTTAATTTTGCAGAACAAATCCACAGAAATTGCTGGAGGGCCTTTCCTTTGTTTTGGCAAAATCCAGCCAGATTGCACTAGCCATGGTGATGGCAGCTTCTGGAGGGGGCATCTGAGGCTCACAGCCTCAGAACTGGGCCGGGTGATTTTCCCTGGCACCAGAAGCCTCCATGATGTAGCATTCTTCCCAGGAAATATGGGTCCTCCTCCAGCCCATGATGACAATTCCAAATGCGGGAGGTGACTTGAGGTGTTAGGGATGGTAGGAGTGAGTGGGCACCCCGTGTGGGCAGCACAGGCCCCTCAGATTCCCACTCCCAGTGGCACTCTACACAGCGGTGATCAGTTTTCCTTGTGAGTATGAGCCAACAGTTAAAGAATCAAACTTCTAGGAAGAGTGTTAAATTATGACCAGATGCAAAAGTTTTGAAATGCTTTGAACCTCTGGGTTTCTTTGTCTACTGTACTGAGGGCTCAGAATTTGGCTCATGGGTTCTGATTCTGGGGCCCAAACCCATGAAAACGGGTACCCAGTGGAGGCTGTCTGGCTATAGCTTTGTTTAGAAGCCCATGGTAACAAACACAGAGCACTGACATTAACCCTTGCCCTTAAAATCTGTGACACCAGGAACATCAGGAAAGAACCGAGAGCCAGGGCATAGCATCCTGTTTACGGGCAGGAAATGATGGACTCAGGCGCCTGGCAACTCACAGCCCGGATGAGTCATCGATCTTCCCACTAAGACCTCCGTGAGATTCATATTGTTAGAAAGAAACCCATACTGCTGACAGGGTGCTGTGTTATTTCAAATGAAGAGTATTTCTATGCAACAGTATAAAGATGGGAACACAGAAGTAACAAAAACTACAAGGTGAATTTGAATGCTTTTGTGTTATTATCAAGGTATGCAAAATATTTTATTCAACCTGATACGGTCAAATATGGTACATTATCACCATTAATCATAAATCTTATCTTTAAGGAACTCTTTGTAGGAAAACTGCATGTCCACATGAATTTGAACCCTGACCTTAGATGGTATACAAAAATGATCACAAAACGGATTAAAGGCCTAAATGTAAGACCTAAAACTCCACAACTCTTAGGGGAAAAGCATTCTGATACTGGATTTTGCAATGAGGACTTAGATATGACACTAAAAACACAGGCAAAAAGTAAAAATAGGGACATTGGATTATATCAAAATTTAAAACTCTGCATCAAAGGATCAATCAACAGAGAGAAATGGCAACATATGGAATGGGAGAGAGTATCTGTAAATCCTATACTTGAGAAGAGGTTAATATTCAGAATATATAAAGAATGCCTACAACTTACTAACAGGAAAACATCTCAATTTAAAAATGGACAAAAGACTTAAGTACCCATTTCTTTAAAGAAATATACAAATGGTCAACAGCACATGAAAAGATACTCAATATCACTCATCATCCGGGAAATGCAAATCAAAACCACAATTAAATATCACCTCACATTCATTAGGATGGCTACTGTTAAAAAAAGAAAACAGGAAATAACAAATGTTGGCAACGATATGGAGACATGGGAAATTTGTGTGTTGTTGGGGCGGGGGGAGAATGTAAAATGGTGCAGCCACTGGCGTCTGAGGCTCACAGCCTCAGAACTGGGCCGGGAGATTTCCCCCGGCACCAGGAGCCTCCATGATGTAGCATTCTTCCCAGGAAATGTGGGTCCTCCTCCAGCTCATGATGACAATTCCAAATGCGGGAGGTGACTTGAGGTGTTAGGGATGGTAGAGGTGAGTGGGCACCCCGTGCGGGCGGCACAGGCCCCTCAGATTCCCATGGGGGCAACCATGGTGGTTGCTCAAAATAGTAAACATAAAATTACCATGTGACCCAGTAATTCCACTTCTGAGTACATAAGCAAAGGAACTGAACGTGAGGAATCAAACAGATATTTCTACAGCATATCCACGGTAGCATTATTCACAAGAGCCAAAAGGTGGAAGGAAGAAACCCAAGTGTCCGTTGACAGCTGAATGGATAAACAAAATGTGGTACATACAATGAAGTAATTCAATGGAGTACTGTTCAGCCTTAAAAAGGAATGAAATTCTGACACATACTGTAACATGGATGAACCTTAAAGAGATTGTGTTAAGGGAAATAAACCAGTGACCAGAGGACAAATACTGTAAGATTCCACTTATGAGGTACCTAGAGTAGTCATAGAAACAAGGAGAATGATGGCTGCCAGGGGCTGGAAAGAGGGGGAAAGGGGGAGTTTTTAATTGGTTTAGAGTTTCAGTTCTGCAAGATGAAAAGTTTCTGAGATGAGTTGCACAACAATGTGATTATACTTAACACGATGAACTGTACGTTTAAAATGGTTAAAATGGTAAATTTTATATATTGTACGTTTTACCACAGTTTAAAGACCGATAACTATTTGCAGAAGGAGAGCTGTTTTTTTTTTTTTCCTCCCTCCTGTTGCAATCAGATCTGTACAGAGTATTTCTAGGCACCAGGAACCACCTGAATTCCCACACAGGTTTTTTTTTTCATGGTATGTTAAAAGTCTGCCTTTGAAGACATGCTAATTTCAAAATACACTTTATTCCTAAACTTTAGTTAAAAGTATTTCTGCTAGGCTTTTACCTCACTTAATTAAAAACAAAAAGCCCATGTTTGATGTGTGTTATGCTGTGTTTGAGGCCATCTTTCCTAGCCAGATGCATCCGCTAAATAAGAGCAAGCTGTGTTTCTTCCATACGGGTTCTTGACTGAAACAGAAAGCAGCCCCGGGCAGATCCTTCTGACCAGGTGAAAGCTGCCCCCTCTTAAAGTGTTAAATGAAGATGATGGCAATAGGGCACGCAGGAGAATTCCCATTCTCCAGATGAAGGACACCAAGGAGGCTGGAAAGGAAAGGAAAAAAGTGACTTGCCCCAAAGTCTGTCTACAACAGAGGCAAGGTTGGCCCCGGGTGAGGGCTCCCTCCCTTCCCTTTGATCCTCAGCTGCTCTGGATGCTGTGGGTGAAGGTGGAGGGAGGGCACGCTGGCCAAGCCCAGGCCGCCTCCTCCTTCCCCAAGCCCTTTTTCCCCTGGCAACCCAAGGGATGGCCCTTTAGCTCAGTGAGGAAAAAGGAGATCAGAGGCATAATGTAACTTCTGGCCTTACTGGCTTAACTACTCCTTACAGACTCTGTGTGGCCTGACCACCCCACAGGATGGTAAGAGCCAAGAAGGCCTCAGAATTCCAGGCACCCGTCCCCAGGCCTGCCTCAGGCACTGGTCAGGGCTCCGGGACTTAGCCCTTAAGTAAATGCTCGTTAGCGGGATTTAGCAATAAGTAAAATTGACATATATTAAGCACTGAGCACAATCATGAAATTAGGCTTAGCAGCGACCCCTGGAACAGGGGAGGGAGCGTGGGCCTGAATGGCAGAAGCTTCTGAGCACCTTCTTCTCACCATTTCTGGTTCCCGTGCAGGTGGGGGCCACCACAGTCACGCTGGCCAGCCCAGCCTCCACATGGAGGCCCAGCCAGCATTCTGGGAGAAAACACAGAGGGAACAAGCAGTTGGGGCCCCCTGATAGCCACTTGCTTCCCACCAGGGCTCAGGCCAAGAGACTAGCAGAGCTGGTCACACACAGAGATCCCCCTGAGAGGACTCAGTAAAGGGTAACTTTTCAGACCCACCGTTACTTTGCAGTTATCATGCTTATTAGCCAAGAGCATGGGCCTTCCCTGGTGTCCCTCACGCCCGGTAGGTTAGACTCCCCTCCTGGGGTTCATGGTTCTGTGCGCCCCCCCATAGCATCTATCTCTATGAGTTACAGGTGTTGTTTTTCTTACCTGAGAGCTCAGTGGGGCCAGGGAGCGATCAGTCACCATCAAAGTAACAATATATGTATATACTATGTATATAGTACATACAGAGTAACAATTGCAACAAACATAGTAACTCTATCCACATTCCTCTTACCACGCATGTGGCCCTGGCCTAGCTGTGTGCTTCGCATGCACTGTCTCTCTGGGGGCCCCCTCCCCGGAGGGCCCCAGGGTTACTCCACTTCACAGATAGGGAAGCCTGGCTTCTCATCCTTGCAGTGCGGCGCACTCGGGCTGTGTTCTCGGGCGGGCCACTTACCCCTTCAGAGCCTGTCGTCCTGGCCCCTGTGCTTGGAAGCACTGCTCCACAGGGCTCCTGCTCTGGCTTCCTGCTTTATCCCCGCGCTCCGTGGGTTGGTGTTCTCTGGTGACGTTTGCTGTGGAGTCACCTGGGGCCATTTCAGACCATTTTGAGTCAGAGAAGCAAGGACTCTGTCCCCTTGCCACCCCAAGCCCTGGGCCTCCCCCATGCTCTCCGCCCCAGCTCCCCTGCGGTCCTAGGCATGACACCTCCATCCTTTCATCACCCTCCCCTTCCCCTTGAAGCGCAAGCCACTAGGTTTACGGGTGCTGCCACCTGGTGGTCACAGGCCACGAGGACATAGTGGGGTGGCTGCCGCAGGCTTGGCTGGCTGCATCCTGGCCCCTCTCCCTGCGCAGTGCTCGGCCAGCCGGCCAGGTGGAGCACGTTTGCAGCAGGCAGGACAGCTGGACTGCAGAGAATGCCACCTAGAAGGCACGGCAGCTTCATGATTAGGCCCAAGAGCGCTGCAGAACGGGTCCGAGTCTTAGTTCTGCTGCTTCTCTGATACGAGACCTTGGGCTAGTCGACTGATCCCTGGGAGCCTCAGCTTCTTCACCTGCCAAAGAGGTAACCTTGTCCTCCCGTGTTGGGGCCACATGCCCCAGCCATCACCTGGAGATTCTTCCCAGAGCACCCCTTTAACTTCATTATCATTTAAAATGGAATTTATGTTAAATTCATGCAAATGAGGTATTCGACTCCAAATTATGTTCATTGTAAGCAAAACCTGGGGCCTTCTGAGAATTTGGGGTTTGTGCAAGCTGCCAGGCTGCTCGGCCAGTCCCTCTCCCCAGATGCGCCTACACGCTCTTCTGCTGTTAAGGGTTCGACCACAGGCAGCTCTCATGCACCAGCTTAAGCCCGTTCTTGGCACTTGGCGTGTATCTCAGTTGGCCAGCACACAACAACAAATTACCCTGATTTCACAGAGTAGAGATCAGCTGAGGGAGGCCGAGGAACTTGTTTGCATTCACGTACTTGCTAGAAGAAGGAACCAAGCCTCACGCCAGAATCTGTCTGACATGAGAATCCTCGCCCGCCCACCATTATAGAAAGCTCTGGAAGCTGTTCTGTCCTGAGTTCCCCAAGCAGCACATGACAGGGACGTTTGCTCACTGATGTACATTCCTCAGTGTCCCAACACCAACCAAAGAAGGGCCTCCTGGCCCAGGGGGCCAAGAAGTGTGCAACCAGCACTTCCACTCCCCCTGCTCTCCCTCTCCCCTCGGGGGACTGCCAGCCAGTGACCTGCAGGACTTGGGCAGGACTTCCAGCTCGCCTTCAGAAAATGCAGCCCGAGCAGGACTTCCTCATAGCGGCTCAATTCCCTGGCTGTTTCAGTTCTCTCTTCCTGGGAACTGCTCTGAACCAATTTACTGAGGGCGCAGGGGTCATGAACACTTCTCTTCTACCCATGCCAGGGCTGGGAGCGTGGACCTAGTAGACCATGGTCGCAGGGTGTTGTGGGGACACCGTGTCCCATCCCTACAGGAGGAAAACTTAGGTCCAGAGAGGGGATAGGGCTCACCCAAGGTCACACACCAAGGGGCAGCAAAGCCCCTGCCTGGCTCTTACCTATTGCCCACTGCCCTGGGTTCCCCCGGGGAAGGCTGACATCCTGTGTGGACCCCGGTGGGGACAGGCCTCCCCCACACACCTGGCCCAGCTCTGTGCATGCTGGAGCTTAGAGACATAGTGAACATGGACTAAGGGGAGGCAGCCTGTAGTTGATGCTTGCTTTCCTCCAGGGGCGGATACACTTCCCAGCTCTGGGGAGCCCAGTGGTGGTCTCACGCTGGCTGGGATACACAGCGATAGATGACTGTTTCCCAGATCTTCCTATTGTCCTTCTCAGTTACTAAGCAACCGACTAGAGTCTAAATGCTCAGAAGAGAGAAAGCAGACTAGGCCCTGAGTCGTGCCCAAAGGAGCTCAGCCCCCACGGTGTGGCCGGCCGAGATCTCCGGGGCTATAAGGGTCACCCCTGAGGAGCGGGTAAGCAGTAGGTCTGGGGACAGTGAGGCAGAGCGGGGGTACCTGCGCACTGCACCACCCACCTACATGCCCTCCAAGAGTCCCCAGGATAGCCTGGGTTTGACGGGAAAAGGGGAAAGGATTATAAGCTGATTTTGTTCCGGGGCCTCAGGCCAGGGACTGCCCCTCTTAGGGCCTCAAGTGTCGCCTGTATAAGATGGGCACATGTCTCCTGCCGGCTTGGTGGGTACAGTGAAGGCTGTATGAATACACTGGTGGACTGTGAAGATGTGGGCCACGTGAAGGGTTAGCACCGTGGTGACACTGGGTCACTTTCAGGATGGCCAGGGTCCACAGTGCTGGACCAGCATCCATCGTGGTCTCTTCCAGGCTGCCTCGGAAGGCCAGCAGAGCCCAGGAGGGGGTGGGCAAAAAAGATGGCTTTTCTGCTCTCCTCCAAAACAGACTGCGCACCGTGAGCAGCCGTTACCCCCCGCCCCCTGAGGCCCTGCCCTTCCACGACACTCCGTGCATGGCTCTGTTGCCCACAGCTCCCTTGGTCACTCCCAGTCCAGCCATAATGCTCTCTTCACAGTCACCCACGTAGGGGGGGTTCCCCTCATTGACCCTCTATTCAAAAAGCCTCTCCTCTCTAAGAGGCCTGGGATGCCTTCGCCCTCACCCAACTGGCAGCAGAGAAGAGGAACTCTACCAGCTACCAGGACTGGATACAGCTCTCCAGGTCCCTGAGGACAGGCCACGGACACAGGCAGTGCTGAAACCCCGTGGGAAACCGCACCTCTCAGGGGCCTCTGCTAGCAAGGATCCCAGGCTGGGGTTTCTCAACCTCTCCGCACTGGGGTTGCACTTCTGCAATGGGAAATTACATTTCCATTTTCTTTTCTGAAGGCAAAAAGGGAGAAAGCAGCGACACTGATGAATGACGTGGCGCGTCACACCCCTGGACTGCAGCTGTAACTGCCAACCCCAGGCCCACACTGCTCACACCCGCATGCTCCTGAGAGCTCACAGCTGCAATGTCACACGCAGATGGGCCCCTGGCAGAAAGGTAGGTGAAGGTCAGGGGGACTGGAGCCACACAGCCAGGGGAGAGGGCCTGGTGGGGCAGGGAGCAGGGCCCCCGCTGGCTCCTCGCCAGGCGCCTCTCTGAGTGTCTTCCTACAGTCCCACCCCAGAGATGGCACCGGGAGGGCTGCTTTCTGCTTCCCCAGAAAGCCTGGGCAGTCCTGGAGACAACGTGAGGGCCTCGTCAGGGGCTCTGCCCTGGCAGGGGATTTCTGTCAGCTCTGGAGTGCTAAGCGGAGCGGAGGAGTAACGTCTCCCGAGCAGTGGTGAGCCCTAATTTCTGCAGGATTCTCTCAGGATCCTTGCACCGTGGGATCGAGTCCCAGAAGTGAACTCCGAATTTCTGGCCAGGCCCGAGGACTTGGACACCCAGCTTGGCAGTCCTGGGCCCAGCTTACCTTTCGTACTTCAGGAGGAGGTTTCCTGCAGGCTGCGGCCTGGGATGTGGACAGAGACACGTGTATGTCCACGCTTTAGGGAGAGGGAGGGTCCTGAGGGGCCCGGGCCTCAGTATCCGAGTGGAAGGTCCCCACCATTTGCCGACTTCAGCCAGAAGGTAGAAGGGGCCGAGGGTCTGGGACTCAGACTACCTGTGACAGGCTTCCAGTCCCACAGCCCATAAGGACCAGGCTCTCATTTGCAGTATACCAAAACCTGATCTCACAGGATTTTCATGTGTGTGTGAGCATCTCCTCATTTAGCCATTTGGCAAATGTGCCCCCGGACAGATGTTGTGGCCGGGCCCGGTGAGCACGGGGCAATGGGACACAGAGCAGCCGCTCAGACCCCAGCCTGCCCCCGGGGGCCCTCAGAGACAGCAGGAGGAGCAGAGCTCAGGGAAGACGGGACAAGGACTCAGGTGACTCTGGTGTGTTATGAGAAGCTGTGCTGAATGGGGGTGTCCAGAGGGGGGGCAGAGAGAGGAAAAGAGCTTCATAGGAGAGGCCACGTTTGAAATGGGTCTTTAAAGATGAGCGGTATTTGGGCAGAGTTTGGGACGGAAGATGCCCTCTCAGCAGAGAAAATACTGTAAGCCAAAGCCTGGTGCCGGGAATGTATAGGACTAGTAATTCAAACCCACTCATCCCTTGGTTCCCACTGAAGGCGGTGGCAGGTTCCTCACCATATGGGGTTGGTGGATGTGCCAGAGAGTTTATATTCCTCCAATCCACGCGGGAGCAAAGCCGACTGTTGTAAGCAGCCTTACTGCATGTGCCAGTAAGATTCTAAAGGACAAATTACCAGAGGTGGAGTGGCTGGGACAAAGGACGTGTGCATTTCTCACCGTGGCAGCCTTGTTACTTGGCCTCTGCAGAGCCCCTGTTGGTTCTTGAGTGAGATCTCCCAGCACCCTCCACCTTCTTCCTCAGGATCTGCCTTCTGCCCATATAGTGAGACATTCATGCCCAAAGTGCACTTGGCGTGGTGCCAGGCCCACTTGGAACATGCTAGCTGTTTTTATTCTTCCTCTGGGCCCCCAGGAGCCAGCTGGGCTTCCTGATTCTGTGTCTGTCCACAATTCCTGCTGCTAGAAGCCTCTGTCTCCTCCACCAGCTGGGCGTTCTGGAGGTCAGCAGCTTCTTCTCCTGGTGCCTCTGCTCATTCCCAGCAGCTGATCAGTGCCTGGCTCAGGCAAGGGCTCAGCAAGGGTTTTTTGTGTGACTATTGGATACAAGGAAGGTGTATCCTATCTGCCTGTCCTTCCCTTCCCGGGAAACAGGGCCAGATTGTCTCCAAATGACAGTAGGCCACCAAAACCACAACATGCAAGCTGGTAGGCCTTATACCTTGCAAAGACAAGGACAGGCATCCTTATATTACAGAAAAGAAAGCTAAAGCTCAGAGTGGATGAGTGGTTAAGTCCTACTCACAGAGCATGCTAGAGATGAAGCTGAGGCTAGACCCAGCGGGGCTGACCTTCCACAAGGCTGGAGCCTTGGCACCATCCTGACTTGGACAGAATGACCATACCCACACTCGGTGCTCTGCTCTGTTTGGCTGGAGGTGGTTCAGCATCCCTGAGCTGGGCAAGCATGTCTAGGCTCCAAACCCATTTTTCTGTCTGTGCTCCATCTTTCCCAGGCTCCTGCCCACTGAGAGGGCCCTCACGGTCCTGCATGTGAGCCTGCATCACCCCGCACAGGACCCGGACATCTTTGCCAATGTCCCAGCACGGTGGCAGCATGACACCAGCCCGCTTCTGGTGGGGCGCAGCCTAGATGCCCACCTCCGGCTACAGCTCCCCTGCCTCTCCCGCAGACACCTGTCGCTGGAGCCCTACCGGGAGAAGGGCAGCGCTCTGCTGACCTTCTGCCTGAAGGCCCTGAGCCGCAAGGGCTGTGTGTGGGTCAACGGGCTGACTCTGAGGTTCCTGGAGCAGGTTCCCCTGAGCATGGTCAACAGGGTTGCCTTCTCCGGCATCCAGATGGTGATCCGCATAGAGGGAGGCACCTCCCTGGAGGCTTTTGTCTGCTGCTTCCATCTCAGCTCCTCGCCCCTGATTCACAGGCCCCAGGCTGAGGAGACTGATGAATGGGAGAGTACCTCCCAGGAGCAGCCTCCCCCAAGTTCAGGGCACTGGGCTCCAGGTCACCTGGGGCTTCTCCATGGCCCTTCCCTGCCAAGCCCTGGAGGAGGAGCAGAAACACAGCTCTAGAAGACCTCAGACAGTGCTAGACCCACCGGCTGCCCAGAGCAAGCCTCACCCATAAGAGGACTTGAACTCTTGGAGCGAACACACGCGAGGTTGACAAGCAAGACCTGCTTGGTAATAATGAACTGATCCTGCAAACACGAACAGCCTGGGGTGGGGGAGCGCCCTCCACGGTTACAGCTATGCAAGGTAATGGGAACTTCATATACTTTTAGAGGCCCTGAGAGGTTCTGAGAGCCTCTCCCCAGCCTTTCCCCACATTTCCCTCCTCTTGTCTCCCTAGGAGTTACTTTATGTTGCTAATTTCGCGTGCTGCTTAAGAGCTGGAGTTTGAGGTTTGCACCAGGAATGCGTGGACACATGTAACAATTACGTTTGTGGTAGCTCGGGGTTACCCTGGCCTTTCAAATACCCACAGGCACTCCGGGCTTAGGGAAGCCTGTATTTAATAAACTGCAAGTATTTCATTAAGCTGGCATACCCAATAGGATTCCCTGATCCCCAGACAGGCTGCATGCGTACCACGTTGTCACACAGAGGCGGGGGGGGGGGGGGGAAAAGGAAAGGGGGGAAAGGGGAAATGGAAAGGGGGGGGGCTCACATTTCTGGAAAGGATGTGGGCAGAGCTCAGGGTTTCCTGGGGCTGGGGAGCTGGGGGCTGGACCTGCCTGGAAATCCATTGACCCGGTCATCCTTGAGTTCCCTCACTATCATTTCTGGATCAAAGCCTTGGCTGATCAGAGGGCCAGGTCTTCAGGGAAAGGTAGCTGCCCAGAGCAATGGGCTCTTTCAGGACTAATTCTATGAGAGGGTGGGGAGGGAGGTTGTGGTAGAATTTAGCTCAGCCGTTAGTTTACTCAAAGTGGGTCATAGACCAATGGGGGTGGGGTAGTCTTCCAAAACTAAGGGACAACTAGTGAGTCATGTGGGCCAAGGGTGGGACAACTTTCTCAGTGAACAGGGGAGCTGAGCACAGCCCCCACTCTCCATGTCATCCTAGTGGCAGTGGGGGTTGGAAGTGTCGTTTAGAAACAGCGTTCACCTGTGTAAAGAAGGGAGGGGCCTACAAACTCAGGTGGTCGTCATCATCCTAGAGCCTGCTCTAGGATATGAGGCCATGGTGTTGCCAACCAGCCGGCTCACAGCCTCAGGCCTCTTACCACGTCCAACAAGGCTTTCGACACTCTCTACTTCCCACCCGAGAAGAAAAACCCTTTTGCACCCCAGGCAGGCTACGAGATTCAGCTGCACTGCCCATTCTTCCCGGGGAAGATAGCAGTGGGCAGAACCCAGGCCTGTTCTGGCTGGGGAAACTTCCCTTCTAATAGGGAATAAGGCAAGGACACTGAGATTATAGCCACAAGGCACAGGAGGGCAAGGGCTGCAAAGAGAGGGGGCTGTCCAATACAATGAATGGCCCCTCGGGGCCCCCAAGCAGTCCTTCACTCAGGCATTCAACAAACTTTCACCAGATGTGAGGCAAAGCCCCAGGAACCCACAGTGAACTAGGCAGGCAAAGTCCCTGCCCTCAGAGAACTTATGTGGGCTCATGAAAGACACCTGTGGAGGAGTTAATCCCTTCATTATTTGATCACCACTGTTACTGGTGCCGTAAATGTGTTTTCTGTCTTCCAGCTGGGGTTAGCATTCGCTGTACCATTAAGTGGCCATGTCTGCTGAGTGCATACTGTGTGCTCAGTGCTTTGCCAGGTGCCATGTGCCTTGCTCAGCTGAATCCTCAAAACACCCGGATAGATCATGGTATTAACACATTGTATCGACGAGGAAATCAAGACTTAGAAAGGGTATCTTGCCCAAAATCATGTCACTCACTAGCTGTGTGATCTTGGGCAAGTGACTTAGCCTTCTTTTGTCTCCATTTGTCCCGCTCAAAAGTGGGTAAGATAATAGTACCCATCCACCAGGGATGTTATGACGGTCTTAGGAGGGGGCACGTGTAAATCTTGTAGGGAAACATCTGTCACACAGTAGGCACTCAGTATGTGTTAGATACCTACCATGGTGAGACCTAAGAGAGGGAACATAATAGGTCTACATCCAAGGGCTCACCTGGGATGCATATATAGAGCTAGAGGAGGTTGGAAGCCTGGCAGACCGGCTGCAGAGCCCAAGAGCGCACCTGCATTCTGTGATCACCTGATAAAGGGTTTTGTCTTTGCCAGAGACCCGGTGGGCAGTCAGGAGGGGGCTTTCACCTGTTGCTTACACCAGAAGGCCCAGTATTCAGAGTTTGTAGGATGGGAGACACCCTGTGTGTCCCACTGTTTTGGAACCGCCTTTATATTTCACACACAGATCCTCAGTGTAGCGATGATCCCTCCAGAGACCAAGATGTTCCCCCAACTCAGCTAGGGAGCAGCAGTACACCTACAGAACTGGGAACCCACAGCCTGGACACTGCACCTGATCTTCGAAGGCAGAAGAGAGGAAGCTGGCTGGGGCCATGCACCCTGGAGTCCCAGGGGGCAACTCCCCCACTGCCATTGAGAGGGGTCCTCTCCCCTCCAGGAAGCAACAGCAACCCCTCGCAGCTGGGGGTCTCTGAGAAGAGACAGGCTGCCTCCCAATGAGGAGTCTAAGATTCAGAGTCAGGCGTCCCGGCATCCCTCTGGGACCACAGGATGAAGTGCAGGGCAGGCTGAAGGACGTGAGCCAGAGACAGGGTGGGAGGGAGCCAAGACACATCCCGCTTGTTTCAGACTCTGTTGATTCCCAAACTCCCCTTGCAAAACTCCCTGCTTGCCTCGCACCAGCAGCAAAGCTCTGCTCCAGGCTAGATTCCATTTTTCTTGAAGTAGAGAACCGCTCAAATCACCAGGTCCCTGTACCCACTCCCATTTTCACACCTGATACCCCTTTCCTTGGCCTGCAGAGACAGCTTGAGCAGGTCGCAGAGTCCCTGCCAGCAGTGAAAGCTTTCTCTAGCTCCCACGCGTGCGGGGCAGTGCACGCTGGTGAGGGGGTGCGTGTGCACGCCCGCACTGACACAAGCCATCTGCGCCTGCTGGGGTGCCTCCCGGCCGGGGCCTGGGTTGGAATTCCTGCTCTACCGTGCACTAGTTCTGTGATCTTGAATGAGGGACTGAATTTCCCTGCTCCTCAGTTTCTTCCGGAAACCAGGGAAGGTAAGGGCTGGCCGTGGTGGTAAAATGAAGCACCGTATATAAAGCACCTAGGGCAGCGCCTGGCACATAGTCAGTGCTCGATTGTCGAGTTAGCTTTCATTGTCCAGTTCAAAGGACTGAATCGAATGCAGGCAGGCCCAGAGTCTCAGCTCACACACACATACACATCCGCTACAAAGAGCTACATCAGTTACACTCAGGCATCCCCCAGAGCACTACAATTCTCTGAGACCACGTCTGGAAACCTAGAAAATCATCCCCTGTGCCCTTTCAGGCATTTTAACCCTCCTGATCCTCTGCTTTTCCAAAACGGGAGTCTTCCCAACCTGTCTGTGAGACACTGCAGCCCCCTGAGCCCCGTTTTGAGGGAGACCCGAGGACGCCCCGTAAATATGCAGGGCTCTGAGGCACGAGCAAGCACCGTGAGGCTGTGATGGCAGACACATTAGACAGCACAGTCCTGGCTGTGGCCTAGAGCAAGGGAGGCCACAGCTGGGCACCGGCAGTTCCACATGGACATCAGAATGCTGTAGCCATCATTTTTGTCGACGAGCCCTGTGAGACTCCGGGCTCCACAGAGATGAGGACCACGGGGAGTCTGCCGTTGTGTTCCTGGTGGCCCTCAGGGAGCTGGCCAGAGAACGGCTGGACAGACAGATGGGCAAGGACGCGGTCATGAGCCAGGCAGGCGAGGGCATGGCCGAGGCTTAATAGTGATGGGACAAGAGATGGGCCGGCCGGCTGGGGCAGCAAGGCCCCGAAGCCGTGGGCAGAGAGTAAGTCTCTGCCTGCTCTAGGCCCCGGTGGGGAGAGCCCCGAACCTCTAGCTGGGGCAGAACGCAGCTGGTGCTTCTCCCCGGTGCTTGACCCTCTGCAGCCCAAACCAACCAGAACTCTGGGTTTTGGGAATTCTGTGCGACAGCTGCGGGAGGCTGACAGATCTGACAGGTCCCCAAGTCACTGAGGATAGCTCTCAGGCAGCACTTCCTGCCCTAAGCAGAAGCACAGAGACGCCCCCCAGGAGGCCCTGGGAGGGGCTCCAAGCTCGAGCAGTCACGAGTTGGGCTGGCAGGAGTGAGTCGGGGCCCCTGAGGCTCACCACATTTCCATGGGATGTGGTTTGACCCCTCTGCTCCACCCCCGTACAGTGGAGGCCAACCTCCACAGAGCCCACCCCCCCGCCCCACGCTAGGAACACACTGTCTCCCTAAGCCAACACCCCACCTGCACAGACCAGAGCTCTCCCATCAAGAGATTCCCTGTGGCACAGAAAGCTAAGAGGTCACACTACGGGAGGCATCCGCATTTTCAAAGAAACGACTGGAGAGGGTGAGGTCTACTCTGAAGGGGGTGGGTTTCGTTGTAGAGAGAGTGGCATTAAAGGTTTCACAGGAGACCAATAAAGGAAACATTTCCCTTTCCCCTCCAATGGACAGTCACTTCATCAGTGTATAAAGCAAGACGTGGTGAGGGCCTGGCTCAAGGTCTGCCTGTGACTAAGTAGAGCTGAGACAGGGTTCTAACAGAGCGGGGAACGGACTCTGCCTAACAGCCCACCGAGCGGCCAGGCTGCTGTCAGCAAAGACATGTGCAGAAGCAAGTAAGCCCCATGCAGTGCGGACGGTTCCTCGCCACCCCCACCCTGGGCTGTGCAGGGGAGACCTGCCATCCCCTGTACCTACTGTGAGAGCTCCGTTCTCCCCGCTCAGCTTCCAGCCCCTGACAGCTGGTGGTGCTGATGTTGCTGTCAGGTCAGCTGGTCCCCATACTGGACCCTCTAGCTCTCTGTCGCTGGGGCAGCCCTGCCCACATCCTTGTGCTCAGGTCGTTGGCCAGCACGCGAGGCCCGGGCCCGGGCAACGCTTCGGGAGGGCAGCAAACAGACCCAGCTGCTCTGCCTCTAAGAGGAGATGCCAAGTTAATGAACTCTATTCACGTTGCAGGGCTGTGATCCCTTTTACCTTGAACATGAACTCACGGGCGGATTAAAGTGAACTAAAACCTACCATTTGAGTTACATTCTCAGCTGATTGGAAACATGCATTACCTCCCCATGACCGGGCCGCGAGAAGGGAAGTTATTATTTTTCTTTTAGAGTTTGTAAACTCTTTATGACTGAGGCAGCTTTAATCCTGCTGGGGGAAAAAATGATCCGGGAATAAATTGCTCTCATTTACCTTTGTTTTCCAATCACATGCTCCAGTGGGAACAAAACATCCTAAGTGAAGGGATGTGGGAAGCCAGGTGATCCCCGACAGAAGAGTTTAATTATTTTCCTCTTGAAGCACGTGAGCTGAAAAGGCTTCTAAGTGCCGTTTGGCATGG